TTGTGCTTGAAACTGGTCCCTGGTACAAAAAAGGTTGGGGACCACTGCACTAGCACATCCAGATTCTTTTCATACATATTACTACCAAGCCAGGTCTCTTGCACCTGTTATTGTGCCTTTCATTTTTTTTCACTTCAGATGCAGGAGTTTTTATTTCACTGTATTAAACAGTATAATTCATTTTGACCCAGTGTTCAACCTGCCTAAATCTTTTCAATCATCTCTTTCTGATTGTTTGCTTTAGTTTTGTGTGATCTGTAAACTTGATAATTGTCTCCTCAAACCTTTCATTCATGTTATTAATAACATTTTGAATAGCACAAAGGTGGTATTCCATTTAATACTTTTCTCCAAGTTAATTTAAAACCATTTGTAAGTCCTTTCTATTTGCTGGCATTCAGCTGATTGCAAATCAATATATAACATAGCTCTTGTTTTACCATTTTATTGATAAAGATATCATTAGAAATTTGTTGAATATGTGGCTGAGATCAAGTTACCCATGGCCTTCACCTCACCTATTAACTCTGGTTAAATTTGATTTAATTATTTTCAGCCTATTTTCTTTCTCCTAGCAAGATAATTTTGAAGTTAAGTCAAACATCCAAACTTGTTTTGCTGGTAAATTTAATATGTGCTTCTTTCACCTCCTCAACTAAATCATTGATAAAAATATAAAAAACGGAGGAATAGCATCTTAGCAGGCAGCTGGGATAGGGATCAAGCCCAAGAATCCTGTTCCTTCATCAAGATCTACAGGCTCAAAAACCTCCCAGATAACATTTCCAGATGTCACCTCTATCAGCTTTGTATAAATAATTTTATGCATTAAGACCCCCTCCAATGATGAGATTGTGTATGTGATTCTGTTGAAAGACATATTCTCCATTTACATATTCACTGATTGTGAATAGTTTCTGGAACTCAAGAGCTGGAATTATAAAATAATAGTAAGGGATTCTATACAAAAGACAGTTTAAATGTGATAATCACCTATAGATGAAATTGCAATTTTTTTTTTAAAACTGTGTATGGGAGAATTGTATTGTTATCTTTTTTTGTAATGGTTTCTTTTAAGTTCAACAACAAAACAAATGTAACTGCAGTTACATTTAGGTATTGTTATGAATACAGAAAATTGCTATAATTATAACAAACATAACAGCTTTATTAATTAAGAAAACACTAAAAACACTAAATATACCCAAGTGGCACTGGAAGAATATGTTAAATTGACCCATTTTATTTCATTTCAGTACTTCCAAGTATGGCTACCATCACCATCATAATCTCTGTCAGTGTCTTAGTCTTCATCATAGCTATGGGGGTGTATAGAATTCATTCAGCTTGCCACCATACTTCAAAGGAACATGAAACTAATAAAGAAAATGAAATGGACTGGGATGACTCAGCTCTGACTATCACAATCAATCCCATGGAAGTAAGTAGAAAAGCCATGTTGTCCTATATTCCTGCTATCAGTCCTATTTTTTTTTCATTTATGTGCAACCATCTTATTCAAAATCCCCTGATATTTACTAAATGTAGCGGGTGAAAAGAAAAACATCATTCCTACTTTTAGATTGGCCTTATTTCTGATTTTGGCATGTGTAGTAGATCTGAAAAAAGTATCTAGTACATCTAAAGATACTCCCAGATACACATAGATAGGATGTGCAGGATTCTATATTTCATGGCATTACTATATCAGATTTCATTGAAGTATATTTGGTTTAATCTTAACCTAGAAAGATGTAAATACTATTAGTACCAATAATATATTGGTGTTATGAAAATTACTTTGCATACATTTTAATGACAGTGCCCTTGTTTAGTCATTCAGAAAGGTCATGTTACATTTTTTTTACTTGTAGCTTGGCCTTTTTTCACATGCTGAATCTAATAATGTATTATTGATGAATATCTCTGTATCAAAGCTACAATGAAAAAAATTAGTAGAGGTGCTTGCTTAATCAAGAATAGATGGATGACATTCAAGTTGGATTGTTTTACCTGATTAATTATTTAATATGATCTTATAGAAAAGATGTCAGGTCATATATAATTGAATGATATAACTGCTTTTGTTGCTACATTTCATCCTTTAGTTTTTGTGAATTTTAGTAAGGGAGGTCACTTTCATTTATCTCTTGGTAAATCTTAATTTTAGTAAGGGAGGTCACTTTCATTTATCTCTTGGTAAATCTGTTAGTCTATAATTTTCTCAGCTGATAGTTAGCTCTATCAAATACGACTATATATATGAAGGGTGATTTCCTTTTCTTTTAGGTACATATAAACATGTACCAACCACACACTCTCATTTAGAGATTTACAAATAAACCTTGGGTTCTTTTTTTCTTATCAGCAGCTCTATTTTATGCTTCTTTATAATACATAGAAATATGAACAACCTTGTGGAGAAGAAGAAAGTGATGAGGAAGAAATTGAAGATGAAGATGATACAACCAGTGCAGAGTCAGATGAGACTGAAGAAGAAGAAGAAGAAGAAGAGGAAGCCACTGGGAATAAAGGAGACAAACAAAATACAACCAGGCAAGATCAGTTGGAGTGGGATGATTCAACATTACCCTACTAGAGTCTTTAGTTTTCTTTCTCTTTTTGTATAAACCAATACTGTGTATTTTGAGTCAATCCTACTGATTCAACCATATCTTGGATCTATGAATTAATTGACAGTTTAACTTCCTATTGACTACAGATGATAAAACTGCATTGTCTGAATTTGATATAGTTGTATCACAACTGCTCCCCATAATTGTTCCTTTCTTGATATGTCAGTAATAGCACCTGGTAAAGCACAGTATACAACTATTAAAGAGTCATTTGTAAAAAGGACACCAACCTGACATTATACATTTGTTATTGCTTCTCTAGTTCCCTGTTCCTTTTAAATGTATATAAGCAAACCCAACTCATCAGACTATAAAGTCCAGGTTACTTTTAAATTTTTCCAAGGTTCACACACATATATAAAATCTTTTTGGGATTCCTTTTAATTCTGCCTTGTTAAAGATCCTACTGTCAAAGATTTAAAAATATACATGCCACGCAATGCACAGGACAAAATTCATTTGCGCATATCTTTATTTTCACTTTTTTGTTGTGGATATTTGATCTTTGCAGAGAGTTTCAAAACACACTAAACTGTATTTGTCTGTGCATGTATAAGAATGCACTGCTAATGTCCAAAGTTTGCTAAAAAGAATTCTTGTCTAGTCCCTCAATTAAAACTTAGTTAAAAGGCATGTAAACCCTATAAATGGAAACCTTTGTCTGTGATGGTTTTTCAGTGCCACACAGATTAAGAAATGTTTTCCTTTGTGTGAAGGATAAAACTAGAGTGTTACTGTGGCTAAGACTTTTTATCTTTAGAGAAAGTATCTTCTGAGAAAATGTAATTATAAATAATCATTCAGTTGCAGAATTTTATGGCAGCTCTGTACCATCACAGAGATTGCTTGGAATTCAGACATGTGCTACTGTATATGTAGGAATTTAAATATTATTTATAATCTCAGGAAAAAAAACCCCACTCTTTTGCATGTTAAAACACTCAAAGCTCTGAATGCATTGTTACAGGTGGAATAGATGTTTGATATAGTCTGTTTATCATTAAAATAAATTCTAGGAGCAAAACAAATAATGTCATAATAAAACAAATCATAGAAATTTTAAATTCCTCCACACGCTCCTTTTCATAGATCCTTCTCTTCACCAAAGATGTTTTGTTTGAAAAATTACAAAGAATTAAACACAGAACTTAATTTTTTTTTAAAAAAAAAAAACCTGATAGCATTTGAAAACATTTGGTAAAGAATAATATTGGGTAGTTTGCATTTTTCCAGCTAACCATTATATTTTGAATATTTATAAGTTTGTGTGCTTTCTTATATATATTTTTTCAGTATTTGTAGCTCTACATTTGAATGCCAAATAGTGCAGTATTTGATGCTGTGCATGTTTTAAATCTATATAAATATAGGCATTTGATGGAGCAAAATGTTTTGTATTCATATTTTCTTAAAGATTTTGGGGCTCTTGTTCCTTTTTAGCCCACCCATTGTTGATAAAATCTCCTGGTTTTAGCTCAACAGCAAATTTGCATATAGAATGCATGTGAAGATGCACTCTTGTGAATACATAACTCACTGTCAAGCAAAAAAGTAACAAGAGCTTATTTTTATGTTTGTTTTTATTTTTATCATTGGTTTGAATGAGTGTCATTTCATCCTTTCATGTCAAGAATTACTCTATATATGACAACTTCCAAAACAGATCAGTGCTATCTGTGACTTTGAAAGAACTTTATTACTTTTTTTCTAGGAATACATTTTAGTAAAGGATATATAGGAAATTGTCTGTCATTATAGCCTACTAACTAACAGCAACTGCTTACATTCTCCTATTGGAGAATTTTAATTAGAAATGACAAAGACTCTGTGTGCAAGATAGCTGCTTTACCACTAGACCATTACATGTCCTGCTATTGTGTAAAGTTTTGCATCATTTTAAATCTTGAAGGGCTAAAGTAAATCTCTTTGAGCAATTGCCTATATCTAATGAAAGTAGTTCTCATGCTTTGAATATGATGAACTTAGATTCTTTTTTCTCTAAATGCACATGGATCTTTCATAACTGTGTAAGAGATCAGAAATACATTAAATCAGACAGATGATGATGATGATGATGATGATGATGATGACTCATATATATATATACATATACATACACACACATATCCATGACCATATCCTAAAGTAAAAATTAATTTTTAGAATGCAATAATATTTTCTCTTCAAAGTAAAATGCATGGTAAAGCTATTGCTTTATTTATTTTAACGACCTACAGAACCAGATATTACCTGAGATTAACTGAATTAAACTTTTCTACAATGTTTTTGTTTTACTTGAAAAATACAGCTGTTCTACAACTACCAAATTAGCTTTTATCTGATGACTTCTGAGGCAAATATTCACACTGACTCTTAATTTTATACCGTCACAGTGATCTATTAAACTATGTGGTATTGCATCTGAGTGCAGTTTTACTCTGCAAAATAATATAACAAGTGAATCAAAACCCAAATATTAGGGGCTTTAGGCCTAAAATAACCTAAGATTGTGACTCACTATAGATATGAAAATTGCTGACTGGGTAACTTTAGGCCAGTCACACTTTCTCAGCCCTGTCCACCTCACAGGATAGGGGCGCTATCATCTTAAGTAAAGGAATTTTCCTTATCTTTCATGGCCATACTCCTAACATACAAGAAACTATTTCTACTTTTTTATTTGTTTTGTATGAGTTAGGAAAACACATTTCTATCTCAGTCTGTTTAATTGTATGGGATAAAGTGTTTCTTTTAATTTTAGTAGATGTAATACTGAATTATCAACTTTAAATTTCTTTAAAACTGCTAACATTTTTTACTGTGTTGACCACTACCCAATAAAACAGCTTGAGTGAAATAAAGTAAGACAAATGTTACATCTTGAAGGAATCAAGGTGCCCTGTGGAAATACCAAAAATCTGTATAAGGACAATTACTACAAATACCTGGCCATCCTTCAAGCTTACAATATCAAGCAAATGAAGTCAAAAAAATTGGTTAGAATCAAATACATCAAGAGAGTAAAGAAGATCTTAAAGTCCAAAGTCAGTGGAGGAAATACTATCAAGGCAATTCTTATCAAGAAGAGTTGGAGATTGCATGGCATGTTGCAAGCATATCAAGTGGTTAAAGAAGAAAAAGGAGCATTGGAAGGCTATCTGAAGGACAGTGAAGATGTTGCACTGACACTTCTATACCAGAAAAGCTTACTGAGTATTGGAAAGACCAAACTACAAGAAAAACCAAATGAAAAATAAAAAAGAGACATGGGAAGACAAAGTATTAAATGATCAATACATTAAAAATAGCAGGCAAGGTAGATAATACCAAGACCTGGCAGTGGCTAAGAGTTGAAGAGGGGCTAATTTTGGCTGCAAAAGACCAAGCCTTAAGAATAAATGCATACAAAGTCAGAATAAAGAAGAAAGCAACAGACAAGTAAGTGCCGCTTTTGACAAAAATTGAAGAAACAATAGACTACTTGGCTACCTGCTCTAAGAAGATTGAACAGACTAACTACAAACAAGCATGACAAACAATGATGCATTGGAAGATCTTCAAGACATACCAATTACCTGCAAGCAAGAACTGGTGGGATCATAAAATAGGGAGAGTCGTAGAAAATGAAGAAGCTAAAGTGCTCTTGGACTTTCAGGTATAAATGGATAGGCATATGTCACATGACACCCCAGACATAACAATTGTCTGTAGGAAAGAAAAAAAAAGTCTGCTTAGTGGATCTGATAATACTTGGAGACAGTAGAAGAGAAGAGAAAGAGCTGGAGGCGATAACAAAATACAAAGACCTCCAAATAGAAATAGAATGTCTATGGCAAAAGAAAGGAAAAGTAATACCGATAGTAATAGGCACATTAGGTGCAATTCCAAAACAACTGTAGCACCATAGAACACTATCAGCACTGACAAATTAACTATCATCAATTGCAAAGGCAGTTTTACTTGGAACAGATTACATTCTAGGATGATATCTTTAACAACATGAAACATCAACATCTGCCTATCTTCGGTCCTTAGGAAGAATGTAATAGGTTGGTAAAAATTAGAAATCCAATCTAAATATCTGGCTGACTGTATCACCAATCATCATCATAATAACAAAATTGAAATTGAAAGATTATAACATGAAGTGGCTATAGTACTACCATTGGTTATCAGCACACTGGATGTTATTGGACAGAAGAAATGTTAGACAAAATTTCCATCTATCAATTGCAAAAGGCCACACTACCTGGCCATATGTATATATGCTATCTCAAGAAGAGATAGGTCTACCATTTGTCAGAAATGATGTAGGGCCTCCCACTTTGGGGGGGGGGTGACTAGATGACCTATAAGTTCCCTTCCTACTCTGATTATCTTTTATCTGTTATCTAATGCATTACAACATCCTAGATTCTTGTTAAGAACTTGATGCATATAAAAACTTATACCAGCTAAAGAATTTGCAGCTGTGACTTTAAACTGTTGTGAACAGATAATGAGAATAATGAGATTACAGGTTGATAAAAATAACAAATCCAGTCTAAACATCTGGATGACTGAGCAAATGATCATAATATGTCAACTATTATTATGACTGTCAGGAAGACCTGAAAGAGAAGGTTAGAAGTAAGTTATCATGGAGAAAAACTATCTATGGGGCTGCTGTCAAAAATGCTTTGATGAAATGTAATCAATAAATCAATCACAGCCAGCTATATAGATTATCTTTTAAATGCATTTATTATATTTATATTCAGCTCAATTTTCCAGGAGCAAACAGGGCATATATGGCACTATTTCCTCCAGTTTCTTCCTACAATGATCTTATGTGATGTGTTGTTTCTTTACCAAGTATTTCCATTGAAATTCTATGACTAAGGATAGATGTAGACCTAGTTCACTAACCTTTGTCCAATACCTTAAATCTGTACAAACACTAAAGCAATAATATTTTCTGCTCCTAAAATGCTGTTTTATGCTAACTTATTTTACTAGGCAAATAGCCAGATGCAATTGTGCTATCCTATCAGCTAATAATTTAATGTTGATTTGAGTTATTTAAACTCTCTGAACATATTTAGCAATAAAACCATAAGGCATGCTATTGAAGACATATCTCAATTAGTATAACAGTATATTTATGGCTACATTTCTAAGATTGTTAGAATTTGGCTGACAAATACAAGCAATTAAGTCATTAAGTCATCAATATGAGACAGGAAAACAATCCAGACTTTGACAAATCAAGTACAAATACTAGAAAAATCTGAGAATAACAACACCACCAGCAAAAATAAATAAATAAATAAATCAAGACTTTACAAATGAAAGAAACAGGATTTTTGTATGAAGAAATCTTGGCAACTGCAACACATTTATTCATTGGATCGAAATAGAAAGTCTGTATAGATCAGGTTTTTTTCAACTTTGGATTAGTCCAACCGTGTTAGGACTGCAACTCCCAGAATATTGGGCTGGCATGAGACCATGAACTGTGTCAGATTTCAGAAGGATATTTCTGACAACAGCTAAGATTTGAGCACTGTGGGACTCTGTTTAAAAAGGTTGTGTATGTAATGGTAGATGGGAAAGTGGGAGATTGAGCAAAAAGATGCTGCCAAGGGAAAGGTCAGATATGAGACAGCTTAGTCCATAGC